GCCACCACCGTTCTATATACAGAAGCCGGTAATCGTTCAGCCACAAGTTGGAATGACCCGTAGGTAAAATAAGATCCTAGCCGTCTGCACCTCATCTTTCAACCACATATATTCCATTTTGTGCAAGCTGGAAGAGCCTAGAGGGCAAAAAAAATGATCTAAGTGCAACGAAAGCATTTATACTACTACTGCTTAGATCATGAAATACGCAATAGTAATGGTTTCTTACCCTGTTGATTTGTCAAATGATTATAAGGTGGCATGGATTCAACAAATGAGACACAAGCCCATTCATTCTCCTGAACACTTACAACCACCCCTCTAATTGTATCCATATATTCTGGCAAGCGCATCCGCCGAAAATACTCCATGCAAGAAAAAGAAACCAATATCCTAACTGAAACCTCCATTTGAGTTTCTTGTTTGAACCTCGAGTCTAACCTATGTTTCATGACCGCAAAAGCAAAAAACAACCACCATAAGGAAGGCAGATCCAGCAATTTTCTCTAAATCCAGAAGTAACTCATCCTCCACGCCTCGAAGCATCAAAGCTACCTGCCGATGGCACAAGTAGACATCTTGACAGTAATCCCAGATAAGATTCTCCACTGTACTCTTGCTCCCTTCATCGGCTGAGACATACTGTGCGCAAAAAACACGAGTTACAGCTCCTGCTTCCTTAAAAATTGCACTGTCCATGTGTTCTTTAACCTCCTTAAGCCCCCGTCCTGCCGGATTTCCATGAAAACATTCAAGTATGCTTGAATAGAAACGTTGCAAGGGAAAGATTTCAGTCAATAATGCTGAAGCAAGACACATAAGCAAAGCGGGCTGGGGAGAAACAGAACCTCCTCGAGCCAAAGCTAATGATATACAGTGTAGAATATGACCGTTTCCAGGTTCATTAATTGAAATAGTAAGACCCCGGGATTTAGAAATTATATCTCTTGCTACAATTTCAATCTGTTTCTCAGCAGAGACCCTTATTTGCATTAGATTACTTGATAAAGATCTACTGGAAGCCCTTAGTACTCCTGCAGCAGCCATGACCACAGCAAATGAAGCATATGTTGGCTTTCTAGTTTCCAAAGTTTCTCTAGCAAAAAGATTTATTTTGTCCAAGTAATTTGAATTAATGAAATTAGACAGAACCCATTCGATCAAATGCAGTATCATGAGCCCATGAGAAACACTAGCAGAAGGGCCACCTTCCTTGTTCCAAATTCCAAACAAAGAATCCAGAATTCTGACAAAATAAACATTCCCAGGAGAACATAGAGCATATCCAAGCCCCGCAAGAACAATGGAATAAGTCCTTCAAAGGAGCCAATCAATTGGTAATCTTCTTCCAATAGCCTACAGAGTAATTCCAAGCAAACAGCTTTGGACCTTTCAGAAGTAGATGCCACAAAAGAAAAAGCACCCAGAAGAAGAACTCCTTCAGCGAAAAATAAAGAGCTCTTATTAGAACCAAACTGCGCAGAGAAAAGGCGAGATAGGATTTCAACAGCAAAATCAACAACCAGAGAAGATGGTTTGGATGATTTCCTCACCCAGATATAGAGAAGCCTAAGAAATAAAGGATGAGATTCGCGGGGAAGAGATAGGTTTGACGATGATAGAATAGAAAGTAAAAGCTTTGCTTGTGGGTCTGCAACATAAAGTGACATCTGGGAGCTAAGGAGGGTCTTTAGAGATTGGAGGTGATGTGGATGAAAAGATTGATTTTGAAGGGAGTCCCTAAGATCAGCCCATGCTTGAATAATAGCTCTGGCTGAAGAGGAGGAAGATTGTATTGAGCTGCTGATGCTGCTACCACTGTTGCTCCTCAGCCATTCTTCAAGGAAAATGGTTTGAACTTGGTTTGCCATCTTACGATTCCCAACTGCAAAATAAGGATGACAATTGATCAAACAATTGTCACAAATATGCAAAGACAAAATAAGATCAGCTAGAAAGAAATATTTACTTTATAGCATCTGTCAATTAAAATATCCATGGTTTCTTTCTAGTTTCTAGTATCCTCCAAGTACATGATTTCAAAAACATCTCCTGACCAGCTTTTTAAAAGCAGCTTTTTATGGCTTCCTTAAGCTACTTTCAGCTTAAGTTAAGTGACAACAAACACATTAAAACTATTCTTTTTAGCAACACCCAAAAGTTACCCAATATAAGTTTTAACATACATGTACAAGCTCCTTTTCGATTTTATATTGCCTTGTAACTAATTTCATTGTCTTTTCTATGTTTGTGGCGACTGTTTGATCAAACATAGCCCCATAAGCCCAAAGGTGAGATATGGGGAAAAAGCAGATATTCCTTTGGAAACTTCAGAATTATACTCCATCTTTCTCAGCCAGAAGACCCAACAGACAGCCAGATACAATGAATAAAGCCATTTTTTGAGACAATTTTCTCCCAATTTTCAAACTATCCAAAAATTTGAGAAAATGAACTAACTTCAAAGACAAAAATGATCTATTATTACAACAAAAAAGAAAAAAGAAAAGAAAACTAATCAATCCCCCTCCTTGGGCCCTAGGGTGGGGCAAGACTTCCACCATTATAAGTTTGATAATCCACGAACCACAATCCCATCTTCTTTATCTCTACTACACACTCTCTTTCATTTTTTCTCTGACCCCTTTACTCTATAGTTTCAACCCAATTTGTTCTCAAATTCTAAATCAACTACTAGCACCTGTGGCGGAGCCACATTGATGGGTGGGGTGGCACTTGCCCACTTTGAACTTTTAGGAATTCCTAAATATGTATTGTTTCAAAGACCATGATTTTCCTCTGCTTAATGCATTTACCTCTGATTTTAAAATATTTATACAGGGACCCTATTCTTTTTCCATGTAGTAATTTAGTGGCACATTATTGGCCCCTTAATCCAATAAAACAAACATTTTTTTTTTTGGACAAACATGAAACAAATGTGATATGTCCTAACACTTATATATATTGACCAAAGATAATGCTTGTTTTTTATTGCATACGTTACCCTTACTTCAAAAAAAATAAAAAAATGCCAAGTTGCTCCCAACTCATTCTAGTAAGTTAGTAGCTCGTAACCTAGTAAAACATGATTAAATGTAAATAGTAAAATGCCATAACCCAAACGAGAGTTTTCTATTTTTCCAAAGAATTAAGTTCTTAACAAGATGGAATATAATCACAATTAGGCATCACAACAGAAGTACTAATGATTTTATCACAAACTCTCTAATTGTATACATTAATTTTTTAAAAAAATATTATTAAACAAAGAACTATAGATGATTATTGGGATTTGAAAGAACATAGTGTTTTGCTTTGATTTATTCTCTTGCGTCTTACAAAATTTATAATGCTTAAACTCAACTTTTTTTATATCACTTGGTACTTTCTTGTTCATATTTGCCCCTCTAGAATGGAACCCTGACTCCGTTCTTTGACTAGCACCACTTTAGTTTATTCCTCGAAAATTCCAACTCAACTCCATAGCAAGGGCGTTCACTAGAAGGAGGTGATTAACTCATTCTTCTGTGTTTTTTCCTTATTGCTAATCTACTTTCCTAATTTGATTAAAGAGAGGTCATGATGATATCATTTACGTCCATACCACTCCTCGTGGAGTAAATCCTGCATCCAACCATGTCTTTGACTAGGGAACGGGAGAACTCCACTACCACTAGTAGGCTGGCCGGGCCAAGAACGCAGTGAGAACCGGCTTCCCAAAAAGCCACCTAGACCGGGGTCAGTATAGAATGAAGGGGACAACCCTAATGTTGTTGTGTTGGCAAAGCCAACTTCTTGGATTGTGGGCGAAGAAAAGCGAATGTGGGGATTCGGTCGGGGCACAATGTAACTAAGAGAGCCATTCCATTTAGGGCGAGACAAAATGGGCGGTCACAGGCAGTCTGGTGTTCGAGCCAATTGGTCTACTTCACTTATTAGATTAGTACTAGTTGTCTATCCCAGAATGAGATGGAATCGACCCATGAACCCCTTCTTTTGGACTATCTAAGTTGCTTAGAGAGGCAAAGTATCCCCTGAAGTTATGAGTTTTCTCTTGTAGTGTGCCTCAAAAGAAACTAAATATTAATGATTTAATTAAGAAGAGGAGACCTAATTTGTTCTGCAGCCGTAACAGTGTAAAAGATGTGTTAACTTAGTTTAGGATAGTATCAAGGATCAAAATATCGTTTCGGTGCATTATTTCGGACACCTAGAAAACGAAAACGTTTTGACGTGTTTCGGAAACATTTTGACCTGTTTCGGAAACATAATGAAAAAAAATAAAAAATTTAAGAATTATTTTTCTAAAACATTGATGGAACTATATCAAAGTATCTTGAAATACCTTGAAACATTCCAAAACAATTGTGCAAATGTATTAAAATATTATAATACATTTAAAAACATTATGGAATACTTCGAAATATCAAAATTTAGATTTTATCACTGTTTTGTTTCGCTTTCCTTGAAAACAAAAACGTTTCGGACGTTTCGACCGTATCAAAACGATATTTTGATCCTTGGATAGTATTTTCATTGGCAATGTTGAGCTAGGGTTTTTTATTTGTGATTGATTTGGTATTCTGTTAGACCTACTATTGGTGACATTTTGGGTCACATGGTTACAAGGAAATACTAAATCCTTGAATATAATTTGAGAAGGGGGCAGCCAGCAGTGTTGTCTGATATAATATATTAATTGACTTCTTTTCGGATTTCGGTGTTTTGAGTTTGTGGGTACCATTTTTTCTGGATTAGGGCCCATTGGAAAGCTATATGTGATTTGAAACTTATTTCCCATTTATTTTTCATTTTTCCTTCTTGTTGATCGACTTCTTGCCCATGTAATCTTTTATTCTATTAATAGAAGAGAAAATAAGTTAAATTATTTGCTCCTACTTCTTTATTCTGTTAATTAAATGTGCGATTCCACACAATGCAATTCCATCAGAACACACAAACACACATTAGTGAAGGCACATACACCCATCTGTGAGTTCTATCATCACCCGTTCAATCACCAAAGTTGAAGTCGAGGATACGCACATGTGAATCAAGGGAAATTTTCAACCTTTTGATGATAAAACTAAGAATTATTCCACTTGTTAAAGAATACAGAGAAAGAGAAAATCAACTTTCCGTGTCAATTACCCAGTAAAGTATACCAAAGTTCCATCAATTGCAGATCAATTCAATTAATCAGTTATGACTTTTCCACGAGTAACCAACGAATTAAACCTAATTTCGAAACGATTCACACCATAAGTCAAACAATCAATCAGTTGCACATCAATTTAATTCATAGATTATGAGTTTTCCATGAGTACCTAACAAATTAAACCTAATTTTGCATCAATTCACAACACAATTCAAACAATCAAAAGTCCCTCTTCTTGACGGACACTCTAGTTTCTTATATTTTTTTTATGTTCCCATCAAGGGTTTCAGAGTTCAAACTGGCCTGGTAATCAAGAAGAGCTGTTTTGAAGCAGTTCAAACACATACCATACCTATCAAGATTAAGCAAAAAACTTACCTTTGCAAAGCAGACTCTTGAAATGGGTACTCTTAATTTTCAGCAGTTCATCACAATCTTCTAGTGCTTTAGTGAACTCCCAGTGACGAAGTTGTGCTGCAAGCTAAGTTTGAGAGCGCTAATGTGGTAAGGAATTGAATATTGGTTCGCCTAAATAAGACCCAAACAAGATTAAGAAATAGTGGGTGAGAGTGGCAAAAAGGTGCGGCGAAGAGAGAGAGAGAGAGAGGAACTAAGTGAAGTGTGAGGAACGAAGAAATTTTCCAATTGTTTCCGTTAGAATTTGTCATCCCAATACATATCAGTTCAATTGTAGTTTTCTGAAACCCAAACGATGTAGAATTCCGCTGAGCTTTACGTCGAAACCGACTGGTGCGCTAGAGAGGAAGAGAGAGAGTCGTTTTTTGAGTCGGTTAGAACTGATGAACAGATTGGGGTATTGGGACAAGAAAATGCCATGCATGTCAAAAATTTTATGGGAAAGGGCTCGTTTAGTTGTTGGGTTAAAAATAAATGGATTAGATAAAATAGTTCAGTCTAATACAATACAGACGTATTAAAGATAAGATTAAATATGATATTAGAATAATATATAGTTTTATCTAGTGTTTGACAATACACATTATAAGTGTTGAATAATCATTATTTAATTCAATCAGTTGTTTGGTTAGAGAATTATTTCATCGTATTAATGTTGAATTAACAAAGATATCCTCGGTCAGTGTTTGTTACATTGATGACAACTTGATTTTATCATTTGGGGGCTATAATAGTAAATGTGTAGAATAATACGTTTGAGTTAGATTATTTTTTTTTTATTTTTTTTTTATTTCTTGAGTTGGATTATAATACCACATCTCTTGATGGGTATTAAAAGGCCACTATAATACAGATCTATCGTATAAAAAATATACGATAAGTATATGGTTAGTATACGTTTTTGAAATTAATACGGTATCAAATTTGCTTACCAAACAAAGTATTAAACCCGATTAAATAAAAAATAGTACAATCAAATATTTAATCCTCTCATAATACGCCTACCAAATGAGAGTGTTTTTACTAAATGAGTTAGAAGCTCTAGATCATCCTTGGACCTATCAAATGCTGATCAAAATATTTTTAATTGGATATGGGGCATAGTTTTAAAACTCGACCCGGACGTCAACCCGATAAAGAGACTAGGTCAATAAGTTACTGGTTGAACCGTTGGGTCACTGGTCAAACCGGTTATATAATAAAAAAAATAAAAAATAAGTATTAATAACAATAATTTACTAAAAAATTATAATAATTATTAAAATAGCATGTTTAATCTATCCTGAGAAGTAAGGGAGACATAGACA